CCTGTCAGGGACCTGCCGCCGGCAGGCGGGGCACCGTGAAGCAGCCCTGTGTGTGTGCCTGCGCGCGCCTTGGTCCTTACCCGATTTCTGGGGAGAGGGAAAGACAGAGAGAGACATTGACGTGAGAGAAACAAATGGATTGGTTGCCTCCTGCAGGCGCCCCCACCAGGGCCCAGACCGGGGAGGAGCCTGCCACCGAGGTACGTGCCCTTGATCGGAATCGAACCCGGGACCCTTTGGTCCGCAGGCAGACGCTCTCCACTGAGCCAAGCCGGCGAGGGCTCAGATTGCTCTCAATGGGCCACATCTAAGCATCAGTGTTGGCCCTTTTCCTCACTGGGAAGCCCAGACAGAACAGGAAAGTTCAATAGGACATCGATTTGCTTTCAATAATGATATGATATTTTTAAATTACATTATTAAAAATATTCAAAGTGCAAAATCTCAACTCCTTGGGCTGGAGAGTGATGGTAAAGTAATGTCTGAGGACGAGCTGAGGATCAGCCCGTGAGCAGTTCACCAAGTGCCTTGCACCCCGATCCAGGGAAGGAAGAGGCCGCCCTCACCATCTCCCCGAGGACCATGCTTGTCTCCGCCCGGGGCCACACCTTCCTGGCAGCAGGTATGGAGACCAGGTGGAGGTGCTGCGGTCACTGTGCTCACCCTGTGCCTTTCACACAGTTAAAATGTTTACAAATTGAATAATTCAAAGGTGCTTCTAACTCATTCTTTTTATATGTTTATCTTTTTATTTCAGAGAGGAAGGGAGAGGGAGAGAGAAATAGAAACACCAATGATGAGAATCATGGATCGGCTGCCTCCTGCATGCCCTGCACTGGGGATGGAGCCCACAACCGGGCATGTGCCCTGACCGGGAATCCAACCATAACCTCCTGGTTCCTAGGTCGATGCTCAACCACTGAGCCCCGCCAGCTGGGCTAAAACTCATTCTCTAAAATAAACCCTAAGGCGAATGTTTATACGAAGCAAGGGTTTCTCACGCACAGTAAATACCTCTGGTTCGGGGGCCCTCACGGCACCATGTCTGGATCTCAAATAGCCCTCCAGGTCCCCACCCCGTCTGCCCCTCCTCTGTGCTTATCATCCTGGCCATGGGGGCAGCTTCACTGTCCTTCACCCCGGAACCTGCGTCCCCAAGAGCATCTTGCTCCCTCCTCGCCCCCCCGCGCCCCCCATGCCTGTGCTCAGGTCCCGGTCTGTGAGGTGCACGCTGACCGCCTCTCACAGCAGCCTCTCCCTCCTCACCCACCGCTGCCCTTTCATCTCACCCAGCGCACACCCATCCCCTCCCAGAGCTACATGAGGAAAGAGACGGGTCTGTGCTGCTCGCCAGCACCCAGCCCGCACACAGGAGGCCCTTTCTGAAATTCTCATGTTCAGATGGGCGGGGGATGAACGCAGCCGTCCACCCGCGGAGGCATTGCCAGCCCCACGGGCACAGAGGGCCTCCGGGACTCCAGACACAGGGCGGCCAGGGGGAAGGGGTGGGCCCTTGGTGTGAGCTGGGGGTGAGGCTGGGCCGGGGAGCAGCAAGGAGGGACACTGTTGGTGGGTTCTGGCTAACGCAGACTTTTTCTCAGACTTTGCGCAGATTGAGTTGCGCATTCTTGCACACTTATCTGGGGACCCAGAGCTGCTGAAGCTATTCCAGGAACCTGAGAGCGACGATGTCTTTTCCACGCTGACTGCGCAGTGGTAAGATACTGAGCTCCCAATAGTATCAGATCTGCAGGAA